GAGGCAGCAATTAGTGGCCAACCCCCCCCGCCCTGTGCCCAGCCCTACACTCACACCACACTGTGCACGGCGTCCTGCAGCTGCACCGTGCGCAGGCACCGCCGCCAGCCCCCGCAGGCCGAGTAGATGGAAATGCTGGGGAGAGAGCAGCACAGTGTGGGACAGCCCGGCGATGTGGGGTCTCTGGGGACCCCTCGCCCAGCGCTGGAACATGGCCCCTCTGAGCGGGAGCGAGGGGTAGTGATACAGGGGTGTCTCGGCACCTGCCCTCCTGCGTGCCCAGCCAGACCGTGGCCGTGGTGCCAACGCCTTCGGGGGTCCCCGGCTCCTCCTCTGGCTCTGGCGGGGTGGGGGCCAGCAGGTCCTCCAGGGTCTTGGGTTCCAGCTCCGTGCTCTCAGCACTGCGTGGTCGGTAACCTGGCAGGGAGGGGGAGATGGAGGCGATGGCTGTACACAGCTGGGTCGGCCCACACGCCTCTGGGACACGACGTAGCGTTCTTCTGCAAGGCCATCCGTCCCGGTCCATACAGCTCCACCCCCTCCATCCGTCCCGGTCCATACAGCTCCACCCCCTCCATCCGTCCCGGTCCATACAGCTCCACCCCCTCCATCCGTCCCGGTCCATACAGCTCCACCCCCTCCATCCGTCCCGGTCCATACAGCTCCACCCCCTCCATCCGTCCCGGTCCATACAGCTCCACCCCCTCCATCCGTCCCGGTCCATACAGCTCCACCCCCTCCATCCGTCCCGGTCCATACAGCTCCACCCCCTCCATCCGTCCCGGTCCATACAGCTCCACCCCCTCCATCCGTCCCGGTCCATACAGCTCCACCCCCTCCATCCGTCCCGGTCCATACAGCTCCACCCCCTCCATCCGTCCCGGTCCATACAGCTCCACCCCCTCCATCCGTCCCGGTCCATACAGCTCCACCCCCTCCATCCGTCCCGGTCCATACAGCTCCACCCCCTCCATCCGTCCCGGTCCATACAGCTCCACCCCCTCCATCCGTCCCGGTCCATACAGCTCCACCCCCTCCATCCGTCCCGGTCCATACAGCTCCACCCCCTCCATCCGTCCCGGTCCATACAGCTCCACCCCCTCCATCCGTCCCGGTCCATACAGCTCCACCCCCTCCATCCGTCCCGGTCCATACAGCTCCACCCCCTCCATCCGTCCCGGTCCATACAGCTCCACCCCCTCCATCCGTCCCGGTCCATACAGCTCCACCCCCTCCATCCGTCCCGGTCCATACAGCTCCACCCCCTCCATCCGTCCCGGTCCATACAGCTCCACCCCCTCCATCCGTCCCGGTCCATACAGCTCCACCCCCTCCATCCGTCCCGGTCCATACAGCTCCACCCCCTCCATCCGTCCCGGTCCATACAGCTCCACCCCCTCCATCCGTCCCGGTCCATACAGCTCCACCCCCTCCATCCGTCCCGGTCCATACAGCTCCACCCCCTCCATCCGTCCCGGTCCATACAGCTCCACCCCCTCCATCCGTCCCGGTCCATACAGCTCCACCCCCTCCATCCGTCCCGGTCCATACAGCTCCACCCCCTCCATCCGTCCCGGTCCATACAGCTCCACCCCCTCCATCCGTCCCGGTCCATACAGCTCCACCCCCTCCATCCGTCCCGGTCCATACAGCTCCACCCCCTCCATCCGTCCCGGTCCATACAGCTCCACCCCCTCCATCCGTCCCGGTCCATACAGCTCCACCCCCTCCATCCGTCCCGGTCCATACAGCTCCACCCCCTCCATCCGTCCCGGTCCATACAGCTCCACCCCCTCCATCCGTCCCGGTCCATACAGCTCCACCCCCTCCATCCGTTCCCATGGTCCATGCAGCTCTAACCTTCTCCATCTGCCCCAAGCCATACAGCCCCTAACTCAGTCCATATAACTCCCTCCAACCACCCCAGTCCATAAACTGCTCCATACAGTCCCCCCTGGGTCCATACAGCTCCATCTAGCCCTTCCCACCACCCCGGTCCATAAATCTCCTCCATCCATCCTGGTCCATACAGCTCCACCTCGGTTCAGACAGCCCCTACTGAGTCCATATAGCCCCCTCCAACCATCCTGGTCCACACAGCGCCCTCCATCTGCCCTGCTCTGTACAGCCCTTGTCCTGGTCCATAAAGTCCCAGCTCCCTCCACCCACTGCAGTCCACACAGCTGCCCCCCCCCCACCCCACCCCCATGCCCTGCACTCACCGGGCAGCCAGGCAGCACACAGCACATGGGTGTTGGGCAGCACAAACTGGGCCAGGACAAGGTTGGCCCGGGTGGCGTCCATCACCATGACCTCGCTGGCCGAGTGCGTCCCAGAGCAAACCCACACCAGGCTGGGCGGGGCAGGATTGGGCCCATCCCACTCATGCGCCGCAAGCCTGGCTGAGGGACCCCAGAACTGGGCACCTGTTGTGGGGGGGGGACAAGCCACACTGTTCCCCCCTCCCCGCCAGGACTTAGCACTGATTGACAGGGGCTCCCAAAAGCCAGATCAACCCCACCAAGCATTAGCTCGAGGTTTGGGGGTGCTGGGTGGTGGCTGCCCAGACTGGGGAGAACAGGGGAGGGGCAGCTCCAAAAATGGGCCCCTCTGGTCCCTGCCCCACCCTCAGAGAATGGTGGGGAGGAAGGGGGTCCCCGGGATGAAGGGGGTCTCCTCTACTTTTTTGGGGGGGCTGTCCCAAAGTGGGGGGCAGGGAGAAGCCCCCCAAATGGGTTGCTATGGAGGGGGCAAGCCTCACACACCACCCACTGGGGAGGCAGTGAAGGGCCCAGTGCAGGGATGGGGGGGATCGCGCCCCCACAACTCACCGAGTTGCTGCCATTTGTCCAGGACACGCCCATCCCAACAGCACACCACAGCTGGGAAGAATGGAGAGGGGGGGGGGTGAGGAGTCAGTCAGACGCTGAGATGCAGCCACCTCTGGGGTGGGGCAGGATGGCTGGTTGCTATGCTGTTTCAGTTCCTGTAGAATGTGCCCTGGTGCTGCCCTGAGGCAAAGGGACCAGCTCCCTGACCACAAGAGGAGAGCACCCCTGCTGGACCCCCACTTGGATCCCTGCAGCCCAGCGCCCCCTGCAGGGCCCTCGGCCGGGGCCCTGCAGCCCAGCGCCCTCTGTCAGACCCCCACCTGGGTCCCTGCAGCCCAGCGCCCCCTGCAGGGCCCTTGCCCGGCTCCCTGCAGCCCAGCGCCCTCACCCCTCCCCTCACCTTGGTGCTGGGATCTTTCTGATCCAGCAATCGCAGCTGCGCCAGCATGGGCAGGACCAGTTCCCCAGACGGCTCTGCCTGGCCCTGCAACGAGTGAAGCTAGGGGTTGGACAGGAGGGCAGACGGGACATACCCTGTCCCCCCCCCCAGGGTTGCATGGGACAGTGAAGCCCAATCACTGCCCCGCCCCTCCCTGCCCCATGTCCCGGCGCCCTGGGGCAGGTACCTGGGGGATGGCCGGGTGGCTCCCGGCGTGA